ACTACACTGCCTGGTAATGGAAAACTTCTCATCCTCCTTGAATCACCTGGGAAGCTCATGCCCATTCACTGTCTGATCTCCCAGCTCTGTTCTTTCATGATCTGCTTCTGAAGAGGCCCTGTTTATTTTTTGCCACATGGGAGAAGAAGTTGAATTGGGGGCAGTGTGTTGAGACTCCCATTGCCTTCCAGTGGGAGTTAACGTTCTGGGGTGGGGACACTGCCTGTATGCACTGGAGGGTGACTTTTCTCATTGTTACTGAGGGGATAGACATATTTTCATATCTGGTACAAAGCTCACTTCTTTTCTTTTTCCATCCCCTTCCAGTGGTGTAAAGCTGTCCTGTTCCTCTTGTCCCTTTGTAACATCTGAGGGTGATGCAATGGCCAAACATCTGGTCTTCAATCCATCCCATGAGTTTAGTAACATTATTTTCCGAGGTAAGAGTTTGAAAAGGAGCAGAAAAGATGCAAAACCTTAATGTGGGAGGACATGATACATCCATTGCTAGACCCCAAGCCAAATACACCTTTGTTTGGCATTGCAGTGAGCACTTACTGAGTCCTGAATTGTGGTAAAATGTAGTGTTGGGCACCTCCTGAAGTGCCTGAATGAGTCTCCAGTGTTACAGGGATTGGAGAGTTAAGCTTTGAATGAGGCTGGCTCTGCCTGGAGCTCAGCTGTGTCCGTGCTAAGGCTGTTCTGAGCTCTTCTGAGGGAGACAAAATGCCCAGGGCTTTAGTGGGTTCCTCTCCCCATCTGAGACATCATTGTACCTCTGCGACACCAGGAGGCTTTAAGCAGCTGCTGATGCTGCTTTTTATATAGAGCCTGTAAGTGGTGTTCAGCCCTTGGCCTAGTGCAGGGGCATCACCTGCAGGGATCTGGCCAAAGCTGAGCTTTCCTCACTTCACGTGGATGTGGAGTTGTGCTGTTTGTGCCTAAGCACTGCTCAGTGGGACTGCCTGGCTGAGCAGGCCTCCCTTGGCTTGGATGTGGCAGTGCTTGGGCACAGGAGGAGGTTGGTTGGGGTTTGAACGGATGATGAGTGTTGGCTGTTCCCACAGTGCAGTGACAGACAAACAGAGGGACACTGCTGTTCCTCTCTGGAAAACAACTTGTTTATTTGCACTGATTTAGTGTTTGGTTTGCTGAGGTTCACACGTTTTTGTTGTTTTGTTTTTCCCAACAGGGCCTACTTGGATATCGCATTCCAGGTAAACCTTGCAAACCCCTGTCTGCCGTCATCCGTTCCAGTTGGTGGGGTTGGGGCTGGGGCTGGGGCTGGTTGGTTGGTTTTTCCTCAGCAGCTTTATTTCCTGTGTTATAAGAGTTCTCTCTGTGTTCTCTCCCTTCAAGGCACGTTCAGCTCCAGGACAAAAGCATGAAGAACCCTTGTCCTACCTACTCCCCAAGTAAAGCTGCTACTGTGAAAACAAAGTCTGTGTTACCTACGAAAGGTGACCTGGAGCCTGAGCTGGCACCAGCAGCCTACAACAGAGCTCTGCTCTGCCAGGAGGAAGAGTGCTTAAATATTGATGCTCAGGAGGATGAGCAGCCAACAAGGGAGCCTGAGCCCACAGGCAGAAAGGAGCAGCTGTCGGTGAAGAAGCTGAGGGTTGTACTGTTTGCTCTGTGCTGCAACACTGAACAGGCTGCGGAGCACTTCCGGAACCCGCCGCGGCGCATCAAGCGCTGGCTCCGCAGGTTTCAGGCTTTCCAAGAGGAGAACTTGGCCTCGCTGTCAGAAGGCAAATACCTGAGCTTGGAGGCTGAGGAGAAGCTGGCGGAGTGGGTCCTCACCCAGAGGGAGCAGCAGCTGCCCGTGAACGAGGAGACGCTCTTCCAGAAAGCCACCAAGATCGGCCGGTCCCTCGAGGGTGGCTTCAAGATCTCCTACGAGTGGGCAGTGCGGTTCATGCTGCGGCACAACCTCAGCACGCACACCCGAAGGGCAGTGGCTCACCCGCTCCCCAAGGACGTGGAGGACAACGCCAGCTGCTTCATCGAGTTCGTGCAGCGGCAGATCCACACTCAGGACCTGCCTCTCTCCATGATCGCAGCCATCGACGAGATCTCCCTGTTCCTCGACGTGGAGGTGCTGAGCAGCGATGACCGGAAGGAGAACGCTCTGCAGACGGTGGGAACCGGGGAGCCCTGGTGCGACATCATCCTCACCATCCTCGCCGACGGAAGCGTTCTCCCGACGCTGGTCTTCTACAGGGGTCACGTCCAGCAGCCCGCCAACGTGCCGGAGTCGATCGTGTTGGAAGCGAAGGAGAACGGATACAGCGATGATGAAGTCATGGAGCTGTGGTCGTCCAGAGTGTGGCAGAAGCACACGCGGTGCCAGAACAGCAAGGGCATGCTGGTGCTGGATTGTCACCGAACGCACCTCTCCGAGGAAGTACTTTCCTTGCTGAGCGCGTCCAGCACGCTGCCGGCCGTTGTCCCCGCCGGCTGCAGCTCCAAAATCCAACCTCTGGATGTTTGTATAAAGAGAACTGTGAAAAATTTCTTGCATAAAAAGTGGAAAGAGCAAGCCAAGGAGATGGCGGACTCCACGTGCGACTCGGACATTCTTCTGCAGCTGGTCCTGTGCTGGCTGGCAGAGGTGCTGGAGGTCATCAGTGACTCTCCTGAACTGGTGCAGCAGTCCTTCCTGGTGGCCAGCGTGCTGCCGGGGCCGGACGGCACAGCCAACTCCCCCACCCGCAACGCTGACATGCAGGAGGAGCTCATCACCACGCTGGAGGAGCAGCTGAAGCTGAGCGACGAGCCCCAGGCCCAGGCCCAGGCCGAGGAACCTGCAGACCCAGACATCCTCCACCAGCTCTTCGAAGGGGAGAGCGAGACTGAGTCCTTCTATGGCTTCGAAGATGCTGATTTGGATCTGATGGAGATGTGAGCGCTGTTCTGCCCGGTGCGATCCAGAAAGGGGTATTTTTTAAATAAATGTTGGATGAGACCATTACACTTCCCTGTGGATTTGTGGGTTTAGGAAATTCGTAGGCGATCACTCAGATAAATAGCCATTTATGCTGTTCATTTATAAGTTTTGTGCTTTTTTAAAAGAAAAATCACTGTGTTGGTATTTTCTGAAAATATATTGTGGGTGAATATTTTTGCGTTTTCTTTACCTCACTGTATCATAGTTTCTGTTTTTATTGTGCAGAAATGTTTTGAATTATACATTGTCAATGTGACCATTTCTAAAGAAAGGAGAAAAAAACAAAACCTATGTAGCTAATGAACCAGTATCTGAATCTTTTGGGTTGTCTTAACACAGATACTCTTTTTTTAACACTTGACCCAGAGGTGGAGGTTTCTGTGGAATATTTAGACCCGAGTTACTGCTCTACTGTGTGAACCTGCTCCAATTGGCCGTTGAGATTTGGGTTTGGTTTGGGTTTCCTGGTTTGGTTTCTTTTTTTTTCTTCAAGAAATTCTTTTGCTTGTGAATTTGGACGTGGGGTTGAAACCCAAGCGAAAGCATTGGCGTGGTCAATGCCAGCCACGCAGCTTGGGAGCCGGTGCTGCCCCCCGAGCGCGCTCTGCGGTGACGCCACACAGCGCGGTGGTTCCCCCCCTGCCTTGCTCCAAAGAATCACTGACAGAGGGTACATGGTGGGAGAGGGAAGTCAAGCCTGTCTTGACCTTCCTGTGCAGTAGATGGGAGTTAAAACCATACGGACCATTAAAGGTTGACCTTTAACTACTCGTAGTTGATAAACCTGCTTTAACCAGTGGCATCAGACACTACGTTCCTTAGAATTAGAAATCCCATTTGATGAAACAAACTGTGACATGCACAAAAAGAAGACGTTTGTTTTTATTTTTCACTGCCAGCTTAAATTTTTCTACAATTTGCATGTTTGAGGGTTTTTTAATTGTATGTATTACGGTATAAACGGAAGGCATTTTGACATACAGAATTCAGAAGCACCTGCACCTTTCTGTTTCCATAGAGGTTTTGTGAACCTTCCCCATGACCCAAGGAAAGCAGGAGGCAGCATGTGCAGACCTGTAAATGGTTCATCTTTAAAATGTACATAAGTGGAACATTTAATAAAACCAGGGAAATGGATTTATAAACATGTGTTTTTCTTATGAAGAACTATTTAACTCTTGTGCTATCGTAATGCTTAATATAACGTGCATCGCGGATCCTCGGCGCGAGCCGGGTCCCTCCGTGCTCGGCACGAGAGGCGGCGCGGGGTCGCTGAGCATGTCCTGAGGAAAGCCAGCGGTGGGTGGTCGGTCATTCGGTGTGTTTACATGTCATTCCCACTCGAGGCAGAGCTCTGTCCCATTTCACTTTGCAGCCCCTGCCTGCCCCGGCCTCTGCGGTGGGGGCCATGGCACAACCTGCTCTCCCTCCCCATGAGGTTTGGTTTTTGAATAAAAGTCTGAGAAATCATTAATAAAATCCTCTCCTGAGTAAGTATTTTTGTTGTTTCTCTCGGGTAGTAGGAGCCGAAGCACGGATGTTGGCGGAGCTGGCATCAACGGCCCCGTTTGTGCTGTCACCCACAAGGGGCACTGGCCTGGAGCTGCGTGGGGACAGCCGGACCCACCTGCAGCAGTGGGCACAGCACGAGCCCTTCTCCTCATTGGGGTAAATCTTAACCCTGACTTGTGCATTTAAACCGAGACCCAGCCAAGCCCAGTGCTAATCCCAGTCCCATAGGGAAACACTTCAGCGATCCAAGCCTGCCACTCGGCCACGTTCCTGACGCAGATTCATGGGGACAGCGAGTGCTGCTGGCCCAGGGCTCACACGTGCACTGGGATTGGGCCTGCCGGCTCAGACATGGGCAGAGGATGGTGCCAGAACCCGTGAGGAAACAACAAAAGCCTTCTGCTCTTTTCTGCCCCTCTCCAGCAGAAGTTAGGACTCGTGGCTGCTGTTAACCATCACCCATGGAACCAGGAGGCTGAGGTCAGTAGTTTTGGAGCATCCCCCAAACGGGACCCCAATCGTAGCACAAACACAAAGCTTTGTCTTAACAGGTTTATTTTACTTCCAAAACGAGCCAGATTGGAGCTTCAAAAGGAGCAACAGATTTACAGCACATCCAAAGGGTGGGAACGTGGACACGGCGGCCTGGGCAGCTCTCGGGGGTCACTCAATGCCGCTGCAAGAAGGGGTTTGGTAAGGGCAGGGTGGCACCAGCTGCACCAACACAATCAGCACTTCTGCTTCTGCTGGGCAGTGCCAGGAAGTGACACAGGTTCTGGGGAAGCACGAAGGCAGCAAAGCCTCGGTGCACCCACAAACGCACCCCATTCCCAAGGGACTCTGCTGAAGCAGAGGCTTTACAGGCCCTTATCCCATTCATTTTGTGCCAGCTTCAGACCGACGCTCACGGGCGCGTTACCTGACCAGGTGAGCGATGTCCCAGTTGGCTTCCAGGGTCAGGGGTCCTTCCACCTCCACCCCTTTCTCCGTTGCGATCGCGACTTCATACTGAGGACAGGAAACATCGGCAGCGCTCAGAAGCCTGAATCCCAAGCCCGAACCCCAGCCCTGCGCGGCCTCGCACTCACCCTGTTGAAGGACCGAGCGTCTCTGTAGTAGAGAATCTTCATGCAACGCTCGATCAGGTCGCGGGCCTCCTCCTGCGTGAGGCTGGGTTTCTTCTCCAGGACTTCCCTCATCAGTGGCTGTGGGGATAAGGGAATAAAACCCCCATGTGCTCAGCAGCTGCCACCCAGAGCTGGGCTGAGCCGAGCCAGGGGCAACTCTACCTGAGCCAGGTACGCTCCATAGCCCGTCGCTAGCGTGGGGGCTTCGTAGGCAACGCCGAGCATGTCCACATAACCCAGGAAGCTGATGGGAGAGAGCTGTGAGCACCGAGGACGGACCCAGCTCCCAACCAGAGCCCCTGGGGAAGGAGGCGCAGGAGCATCACTCACCTCTCGCCGTTGTAGAAGCCCCCGATGACAACGGTGTTCCAGAGCGGGTTGATCTTGGACCTCCGGTTGTACATGACTCTGGTGAGCCAGGAATGGATGGCTTTCGGGCTGTAGCTGTGACCATCTCCCAGCAGCTCCTCATCGATCCTGAGTTAGATGGGAATTTCACCCAAGTAAAGCCAGAATCCACCCGGACACAGGCACCCTCCCACAGGACCTTACAAGGGGTGAAGCAGCCAAAGGCCACAAGGAATCACTCAAACCGGTCCCCCCCGGTGCTCAGCAGGGAGCTGGAAAGGACACTGGTACCGAGGGGACTGTGCAGGGATTCCAGCCCGGTTTCACCCCTGCTCAGGGGATCCATTTAACCCCGTTTCAGCCCTTCGGAAGCAGGGAGGGAAGAGGCCCGCGGCTCGCAGCAGTGCCCGGGGTACTCACACCATCTGGTCGATGACCTGCGCCAGGTACTGGAAGTCGGCGTAGTCCCCCGAGGCTCCCAGCATGGTGGTGTCGTTCACCTTCAGCAGCCGGGAGATGCCGCGGAACCGGGCGAGGGAGCCGTAGGAGCCCATCATGTCGGCGGCGATGATCACCCCCCCGTCGAACTTCGCCCCCAGCACCGAGGTCCCCGTCACCATCGGGCTCCTGAAGACCCAACCGTCAGCGCGCCCGCAGGGCCCCGCTTCCGACCACCGCGGCCGCGCCTCCCGCCCACCCCAGCCCGCGGAGCCCCCCGCTCCCGCTCCGCGCTCACAGGGTGCGGGTGAGGGGCAGGACGCCCGCGGTGGGGCCGGGCGCGCAGGGGTCGTGCGCTTGCCCCGGGGCCGGACCCCCGGCCCAGAACGGCGGCGGCGGCAGCAGCATCCGTGCGGTCCCGGCCTCCATCTTGGTGACGGTGCGGCCCGCGCTGCGCACGCGCGGAGGAAGCGCTGCCGCTCCCGGCCGCCGTTGGTTGGGCGGGGTCAGAGCCGTGAGGGAGGGCGGGCCCGGGCGCCATCTTGTGCGTGGCGGAAGTCTCCCGAGGCCGCCCCCCAGGGCCTGGCCCCGCTCCCCGCCGCAGGCCCGCGGGTCCCGGTGCCATGCCCGAAACACCGAGACCCCGGGCCCATCCCGGGGGCGGGCGCGGCGTTTCGGGACCGCGACGGTGCCGCTCCCTCAGCAAGATGGCGGCGCCCTGCCGGGGGGTGCCAGGTGACCACGTGATCGCCCTCCTGGGGCGGGGCTGTTGGTGTGCCTGACTCCGCCCCTGGGCGCGGCCTGGCGCGGCGCTGACCAATGGGCGGGCTCGGGGGCGGGGCCTGAGCGAAGGTAACAGGTTGCGGTGGGCAGCGGCGGGAGCGGTCCCGGCGGCGGGCGGTGAGTGCCGGGGTCGGGGCCGAGCGAGAGCTGGGGCCATGGGCGTTGCTGACCGGGGCGGGTGGCGCTGGGCTATGGGGCGCTGGGCTATGGGGCAGCGAGGGTCGGTGCTGCCTTCTCGCGATGCGCCCTGCCCCATGGCAGAGGCTGTGGGGCTGGACCCCGGGAGCTGTTGTCTTTGGCGTTGTCCTGCCCGTAAGGGATGGGACTGGAGCTATTGTACTTCATGGGCTGTGCTCTGCCCTGTGGTAGAGCCTATGGGGCAGGCCCTGCTGGGGCTTTCATCTGAGGGTGAACCTTGCCCTTTAGAAGCTCCTATAGGGGCTGGCACTGTGGGGCCCCTTGTGCTTGGCTTGTGCTCCATCCTACTGGAGTCCCCATAGGGGTGTCACCTGCCCTACAGCATAACCTATAAGGAGCCCTAGGCAGGTGAGGGGCCTGGGTTGTCCCTATTCTACCAGCTACCTCCATCAGGGATCTGCTGTCCCCTATAGCCATGATGGGACCTGCCTTTACCTGGCCCCTATGGAGATTGTCCCTTCCATAATGGATTTGCATTCCGCTTTGGAAGTTGTATCTGCAGCTGCTCTTATCCTTCGAGGAGCGGTCCCATAGCATCCCTCCATCGGGCCGCCAGCAATGGTTGACCACTGCTCCTCCTCATTAGTAAAGAGATAACGAACCTCTGCCTTGTGCGAGGGGCAGGAGGGTGAGCGACATCCTGGAGCGGGGTAAAGCCTCTTGGACCCGGCGGGATCAGGGAAGCAGCGGCAGCGCAGTGGCTGCTGCGGGCCGGGCTCAGCCCCTCCGTAACGTGGCACCTCCTGAAACTTTAATGCCAGGAGCTGCCCTACTTCGCTGCGCTCCCAGGGCTGTATTTTTAGCAGCCTGTTTTAAATAAGACCGAGAAATCCAGGGCTTGGGTGTCGCCCCTGCTGCCATCTGACTGACTCCGTGCCCCTCGAGGTCCTGAGGCACCAGGGATCGCTGCCCGCTCCCCATCCTCTGTCCCCTGTTACAGGCTTTTGTTTGGGAGGGTGTCTGCGGCTTGCTCTGGGCTGCCTTTGCTCTCTGACCAGTCGGGCTGGTTTGCAGTCGAGCTGTTTCCATCTCCATCCAAGGAGATAAGGTGCCGTTTGCTGATGGAGCCCCTCGCCCGCTGCGTCGTGGCTGTGGTACTTGTAGCATCTTCCCCTCAGCGTCTTCTGCCTTGGGTGGGAGCTGCAGCATCAATTTGCTGCCGATGTGCCGCCCCTCGGGTGCTGGTTTTGGGGTGCCCGAGGGATAGCGGGATGCTGGAACTGGCTCTGGAACACACAAGGAGACGGGGATGTGTGCAGTGTGGGGTGAAACCGGAGCATCCGAGCAGCACAGATCCATGTTATGCCCCTGGGGCTCCTCCTTGCTCCCTGACGGTGTTCCCCTGGGAGATACTTATCCTTGTGAGCCTGTGGGTCAAAATAATCCTGGTTTCAAGCACAATTTGCCTAGAAACCTCTAAACCAATGGGGCTGGTACTGGAGTGAACACGTTACCGTGTGGCCTGTGCCATGCCGGTGGTCATGGAGCACCGCACTAGGTGTGGCGATGGTTCTGGGTCTGACCCTGGGGCGCTGGGTCCCGCAGGAGAGGACGAGGCTTTTGGTTTCCGAAACCCGGCCCTGGGAGCGGCAGGGAACAGGATTTTCCAGTATCTGGGTTGATGATTAACCCCAGGGCTCTGCCTGCGGCTGGGATGGGTTGAAGTGCGGTGGAATTCGGTTCTTATCAGCTCCGCTGGGAGCCCCAGGGGCCATCCCCTGCAGAGTGACCCTCATCCCCCCCTGGACATCCCTCTTCTAGGCCGCGCCAGCGGCACGGTGCTGACGTGAGCCGGTCCCTGTTGCATGACACCGGTGCCCTGGTTTCGGGTTCCCCCGGCCCTGCCAAGGACTTATCGGGGTTTCGGGCTCCGGCGTTTACAAGGGAGCAGGAACATCCGGTCCGTGCCGGTGATGGGCAGGGGGCAGGTACCGGGTGCGCTGCCTGCACCGGGGATCAGCCCCGGACTTTGGCCAGGGCTGAGCAAGCAGCGCTGCGATGGGGCAGAGCTGTGGGGAAACCGAACTGAACCGTGCCATGAGCCCAAACTGATGGGGGAGATGGGTCTGACCCTGCGGCTGTTCCCCCGGTTGAGGCGCTGGCAGGGAGCGGAGCCGCGCAGAGCCCCGCTCAGCGTAGGAGCGCTTCCAGCACCGCCTGCTCATTGCAAAACAACTTTCTGGGTTAACGTCGGCGGCACAAAGGGCTCATTGTACCGCGGCCCCGGGCGAGCGGAGCTGGCCGCCGGCCATCGCGGCACTGCCGGCCCGCAGCGCGATGCTGGAGCTGCGGGACCACCACAGAGACCCGGCTCTGCCGGCCCTGGTCCTGCCTTGCCTGGGTGCGGGACCCCCGCGGCTCGGTGCTGCTGTCACTGCCAGCCTGAGCCAGGGCAGGGGAAGGTGCGTTTGAGCGCGGCACAGGCCCTGGGGACAATAACCAGCCTATTCTTAACCCTGGTTCTCCATCCTGCCTGCTTCCAGGCTCCTTCCCTGTGGTTTCCAGTGAAACCCCCTCCTGGGGCTGTGTTTCCAGCCTGGGGCTGGGTGTTGCTCTCCCACACAGGAATGTGATCTGGCTTCAGCCCTTTATCTGCAAGCTGGAGCCCTTCCAGAAGGAGGGAGGCATTCCTGGCTGCTGACCAGCCGGGCCTGGCTCACCTGCCTCCTCCCAGCTCCCCAAATGCTGCCAGAGCTCCCCAAAGCCAGGAGCAGAGCCGCACCTCGAGCCGGTGCAAATCCTGCTCTCTGTGGGCCGGGCTCTGCCAGTTGGGTCCCCGGCCGCATCCGGCGCTGTGGTTCCTCGCCCCCTGCTTCCCTGGCGGGCGCTGGGGCTGAGCCGTGTCCTTTGCCGGCGGTGGCGATGCGATGCTGCGTGTTGTGATGCTCTCATGGTGCCATGGTGCTGCACCGCCCCGCGCCACCCATCCAAAGGTCTTGTCCAGGCGGGTGCTGCGCCCAGGGCTCCTGGTTCCCACCCCGATAGCGGCGGGGCCGAGCCCTCTCCCTCATCACCCGCTGCACTTTGGACACAGCAGCCGTGGAGCGTTCCGAATCCTGCTGCCGAGGCCGGTTCCCTCTGCTCAGTTCCCTGCTGCAGGTTGGTGCTGTCCTGCTCCCCCCAGACCCCCATCCCCACGCTCGGAGGGGACAGCACTGATGGGATTTGCCTCAAGGGCTCTCGCTGCAGGGTCAGGGGGTGTTTAGAGGCTGGTGTCTGTGGCTGATCTCGTTAGCACCGGGCAGGGATAATGAACTCACAGAGCGGGCTCTTCTCCTGTCCCCTGCACTCCCTCCTGGGCTCCGTTGCCTCTGAAGTGAGGAGCTGGTCCCTGCCTGCGCTGCCCCCGCTGCCGGCCCTGGGGAGGGATGCAGGAGAGCCCGAGGTGGCTCTGGCAAACGGAGGAGCCGCAGGAGCTGCCCCTGCCGAGCTTGGCCGGGGCACGGGAGCAGACGGCGGCGGTGGGGAGCTGGCAGGGCCGGGGATGCAAATGCTCGTCCTTCCTGCGCAGCCCCCGCTGCTGCCTGCGGCCACGCTGCTGCTCCGGGCCCGGCATCCCCAGTGCCTCCTGTACCCCAGGCAGGAAGCTGCGTCCCACGGCACTGGGGCTGCGGCTTCTTCCCTGGGGTGGGCACGAGAGACGGGGGCTCATGGCCGATGTGAGAGAGCCAAGGTGCGCTTGGCATCCTGCTGCTCCATCCGCATTCGAGCTCCATCCCTGCCTGCTTCCCTGCTGTGGGCTGGGGCAGCTTTGGGGGGCGATGTGTGGAGCTGAGCTGGAAGCCGGGGGCTTTGGGTTTGCTTCGGTGTTTTTCTCCGAGTGCAGGATGTGTTTGAGCATCTCCCCGCCTGGCTCGGGGTCACTTCGTGTCCCGGGGTCCCCCTAGGACACCCTCCTGGGTGCAAGCTGAGTGCTCAGTGTTGCTCCCAGCATCCAGTTTATTTCCAGCAGAGAAAGGAGCTGCGGCTGCTCCTGGTGCTCGGGGCGATGCTGCAGAGTTTAGGGGCTGATCTGGGGCTTTTCCATCATTTAACCCCTCCCAGGTGCCTATAGAGGAGCTCATCCCCCCGCATCCTCTGCTCCTGCCGGTCTCCTGCCGGTCAGCATCGCCCTGGGAGCAGCCGGGGCCGAGGGGGAGGGTTACATCACCCTGTTCCCAATATGTCACTGCTCATATCTGTCCCCTCCCCACGGGACCGGGTGGCTGCCCCGGCCGCAGGCGCTGGGGTGATGCTGAGGGACGCCCGAGCTCCGGCTGCAGCGAGGCTGCGGCGTTCCGCAGGGGCTGGGAAGCAGCGGGAGCCGAGCCCGGCTGCGGAGCCCGGCTGGGATCGCTGCCTGCGATCGCTGCCTGCCCTTTGCATCCCCGGGGTCCTGCAGGCGAGCAGCAGCGCGTGGTGAGGGTCCGGCCGCCGATGCTGCGTGTGGGGAAGGGGGTTTTGCCCTCCCCGCCCTCCCCAGCGTCCCCCCGCGAGCGGCTGGCACAGCAAACCTTGTCCCCCTCCTGTCCTGGGGACGCTGCAGCGCTGGCACCGGTGTCCTCTGGCACTCGTCCTCATGGGAAAGCGCTGCCAGACACTCGCTGAGCACCGTCTTGCATCCGAGGATAACTCTGTCCCCTCTCTCCCCTCCCAGGACCGCGGTGCTGAGCCCTGGGGATGGAGCGGCCGGCGAGTGCGGCAATGGCAGAGAAGCAGAGCCCGGTGGACTACGGCGTCCAGATCCGCTTCATTAACGACCTGCAGGAGCCCCGGAGACCCCCGAAGGCACGGGCAAAACCCGGCTCCTACGGGGTGGCCGTGCGGGTGCAGGGCATCGCCGGGCAGCCCTTCGTGGTCCTCAACAGCGGCGAGAAGGGCAGCGACTCCTTCGGGGTGCAGATCAAGAGCGACGGCTCCTACCCGACCCCCGCCGCCGGCCCCTGGCCCTCCGGCTCCATCAGCTCCGACTCGGACCTGCCGGAGAACCCCTACGGCGGGCGGCAGCCGCGGCACGGCTCCTCCTACAGCACCTCGGACGAGGAGCAGAGCGGAGCCCCGGCCCCACGACAGGAGCCCAAAGCTCTGCCGGGCAAGCGGCTGCCCCGGGAGGAGCTGCGGAGGACGCAGTCCCATGGGGATCTGCTCCTGGCCGCTGCGGATGAGCCCTCCGGTATCGGCGCTCCCCGCAGCAGCGGCCCCCGGCAGCAGCGGGCTCTGGCCGGCGGCAAGAGCAGCAGCTTGTTGAACATCGCACCGGAGCGGAGCAGAGCCCCCGGCTCGAGGGCTGTGGCCAAGGACCCGTCCTCGGACACGGAGGTGGCGGTGGCCGGCGGCAGCTGCGATGTGGACACCAAACCCCTCTCCTCGGTGGATTCGCTCATCAGCAAATTCGACGGGAAGGGGCAGCAGCAGCGGGGGCGCGCAGCCAGGAGGGGCCGGGTGCCCTCGGAGGAGAGGAAGCGCTCGCAGAGCCTGGACAGCCGCATCTCGCACCGCGATGTGCAGGATGCCCGGGAGCTGAGCAGCGCCCAGCGCCAGGCCGGGGGCGCTCGCCCGCAGCCCCCGGTGCCCACCGGCAGCCTGAGGCGCCCGAGCGGAGCGGGGGGGATGGAGGATGCAGGGGTGAGGATCCAGCGGGTGAACCGGGGCGTGGAGGAGCCGGCGGCTGAGCGGCTGCAGAGCAAAGCCCAGGCAGAGCTGCAGGTACCGGGGGGGCTGGATCCTGCTGGGACCGCAGGGTAGGAAGCTCCTTAACTGAGGGGGCACCGGCACCAGGGCGAGCATCAGCGTCCTCCGGAGCAGCAGGACCTAGGGGGGGCTGTGGGGGGGCTCGTGTCCTGGCCAGAGCTGAGCCTTTTTATCCCTCATGGCAGCTCAAATCCACCCCAGACCTGCTGCGGGACCAGCGGGAGGTCGCCCAGCCCGGTAGCAGCGAGTACCCCAAGGAGCTCATCTACAGCATCCTGAAGGAGGGGTGAGCCCCCAAAGCCCACCCTTATTGCTCTGTGCCCCTTTTCCAAAGCCTCAGTGGCTGCGGCTGGGATGCTGGGGGGGTGGTTTGGGAGCTGGATGCCGCCGCAGCCAGTTGGTGCTCAGGATTTTGGGGGAGCGCTGGGGATGTCCCCTGGTTCTGGAGTCCCCCTGCTCCGTCCTCCCTCCCACAAACTCTTCCCCTCGCTCTGACACGCACAGGAGCAGTGAGAGCGAGATCTCCCTCAAGAGGAAAACCGCCCGGCTGCTTGAGAAGATGCAGGAGCTGGCGGTGAGCAGGGACCGTCCCTGTGCTGCTCCCTGCTCACAGGGGAGACCAGTCCCCAAGCCCGCCCGGGGTCTCCCCCCCTCCTGGGGCTGCATCTCAACGTGCTGGGGGCAGGACCCGGCAGGAGGTGGTTGGGGACCGAGCACCCCAAACCCGCTGAGTGAGGCCGGGGGGGGGGGGGTGTCTCTCCAGGCACCTGCAAAGGACGAGGCGTGTTCCCAGCCCCTGCACAGAGACTTGGCCAGGAAGGTGGAGGAGCTGCAGGAGAAGCTGGACGAGGAAACCAAGGTGAAGCCAGGCAGAAGGCTGGGAGGTCTGGGGGGGGACACGGGGTTGCAGCTTGCATCCTGGCAGGGGGGAGTGCGATGAGTCCTTGCTCCAAGCCCCTTTCACTTGGGCTTTGGTGCCCAGGGGAAACCAAAACTCCTCCTGATCTGGTTTAGACCCCACTGGGCTGTCTCAGGGTGCTGGGGGAGATGCTGGGGGGGGACAGGGAGCCTCTCCGCAGTGCAGGGGGGCACATAACCGGTATCCGCCGTCCTGCAGCTCCGCCAGAAGCTGGAGCTGTCCCGGGAGCCGGCGCGGGGCGGTCCCGCTCGGGCGCAGGAGGCTGAAGGGGAGATCCAGCGCCTGCGGGCGGCCCTGGAGCAGAGGAACCAGGAGCTGCAGAGGAGCTTGCGAGAGTGAGAGCGGCGTCCGCAGCGCCCCAGGGCTGGGGGCACCCAAGGGTGTGGGGATGCGGGTGGAGGGTGGGGAGGTTTGGGGCTGCAGGGGGGCTGCGGGAGCGCGGGGCTGCCACCACTGCTGTCCCCGTCCCCTTTGACACGCTCGCGGGTGGGTGCTGCAGCCCTCTGGGGGCCGGTCTCACGGGGGGAGCAGTTCCGTGAAGGGGCTGCGCTGCCCTCCAGGCTCAGCGAGGTGAAAACGGCCAAGGAGCAGGCGGAGGCTCAGCTGGGCGACTGCGAGGAGCGGCTGCTGGCCACGACCCGGGAGCTCGACCGCTTGCGCAAGGGCTCCGGAGCGGCCCCAGCCACCGAAGCCCTGTACAAGGTACTGCGATGGCTGCGCTGGGGGGGCGAGCATCCCCCTGCGCCGCTTCGCTGTCACCCCAACCCCGCTGTCACCTTTGCCAGGAGCTGCTGGAGACCAGGGAGGAGCTGGAGGAGGCCCTGAGCTCCAGGCAGCGGCAGGAGGAGCAGTTGCGGCTGCGGGAACGGGAGCTGACGGCGCTGAAGGGAGCCCTCAAGGAGGAGGTGGCCAGTCACGACAAGGAGCTGGACCGCGTCCGGCAGCAGTACCAGAGCGACATGGACCAGCTGCGGCGCAGCATGGAGGACATCTCACAGGTCCGGGGGCTGCGAGTTGGTGGCTTTGAGTGCCCCTTTTCAATGGGATTTGTGTCCTGCCCCAAACTCACCCCATTGGAGCATCGCTCTGCCGCAGCTCTCGCATCTCAGGCCCCCAGCACCATTGGAAGATGCTGCTGCTCTGAGGGTGAGCGTGTTCAATGCTTCAATCCAGGATCAAGCCAACCTGGAGTCCGAGAGGCAGAAGATCAACGCCGTGGTGAGGAACCTGCAGCGGGAGCTGGAGGAGAGCGCGGAGGAGACAGGGCACTGGCGGGACATGTTCCAGAAGAACAAGGATGAGCTCCGCAGCACCAAGCAGGAGTAAGGGCTGAGGCTGTGGCTGCTGGAGGCGTGAGCAGCCACTCACCACCATCAGGATCTTTGCTTCAGACCCCATTAAAACGGGTCGGGAGCTGGGATGGGGCTGGTTCTCTCCCTTCTCCATGGGCATGTGGGGGGAGAAAGGCGATGTCCAAGCCAGGTGCTGCTCTCCAGGCACGCTGGGACCTGGGAAGAGGGGCATGGGACAGGAGAGCACAGGGCTGGGTCTGGGTGGCCATGGGCTCCTCCTGCCCCTCTCCAGGCTGCTGCAGGTGAAGCTGGAGCGCGAGGAGTTCGAGGAGGAGCTGCGGGAGCTGCGGGAGCGCTTGGCGGCCGCCCGGGGGGACGCGGAGCAGGCGCGGAGCAGCGCGGTGGATCCCAGTGCCCTGGAGGCGCTCCGGAAGGTGGGTGCCGAGGGAGGAGGCACCGGGGCCTGCACCCAGCGCCAATGGCGCTGATTCCCCATCACCTCCGTCCCAGGAGCTGCGGCAGGCGCGGGAGGCGCAGCGGGAGCTGACGGCAGAGAAGCAGAGGCAGGAGGAGCTGCTGCGGCAGCGGGAGCAGGAGCTGGCGGCGCTGAAGGGCACCATGCGGGAGGAGGCCAGCAGCCGCGATGGGGAGATGGAGCGGTACCGCAGAGACCTGCGGCACCTCCAGGAGGAGCGGGATGAGGCCACCAAGGTGAGCGTTGAGGAAAGGGCTTTGTCCCCACCCAGCCGTGAGCCAAGGGGTGAGCGTGGC